GAGAGAAAGATAGAGCAAGCAATATTTCTTTAATTATAAGTAAAGTCCAGCTTGAAGCAACTATTATTGAATTTATGAAATGCCAAGCAACCTGTAATTTTTGTGGTTAAATGCAATCGTACCAAAACGAGACGTGAAGCCAACAAAGAAACAGAATTCTGCTTAAAATGAATTAGTCTCCATGCTATTTGATCGTTCGACATGCTAGCAGGTGCCTATTCGTATCGTTCAATATTGTCATCAGATTCTGTTAAGCCTCCAGAAATCTGTGCAGTTGAACTGTTCTCACTGTTTCTGAATATAAACTGGTGGACAATTTAGGCATTTGATAAAATCCACTTCCCAAGACAGTGCAGAGTAACTTATAATTTAAGTCTAGAAATAACGGTTTCTTAAGGCAACATGGAAAGAGCACTCTGCAGAATGTTGGCAGAATTGACAATAGTTTTTCTATCATTTAGAACGCTGTGTAGTAATGGTGGTTGTTGTCGTTGGACTGCTTCTGCTGCTGTTACAGCATGGACTTTTTAGAATTTAATGACTGGAATGTTTACTTCGAGGAATATTGGAAATGCGACTGGAAATCTAGGAACACTATTTATTAAACTGTCATAAAGTCAGTTTGCAAGAGATGATTAAAGAGTCGTGAACGGTTTTATTAATAGAGTTGGGAAATTTGTCCCGGCTTTCCCACATCAAAGGGTTGAAGTTAAAAAATTGCGACAAAACGCAAATAAAAACAGCAAGATTAGAGGGGACAAACTCTCTCTTTTAGGCAAATGAATATAGAAAGACTGCTCGGTGTGCAACAATAAGAGAAGAAAGTGTTTATTTACATATACAACAAAATAGGGTAACGGGCTCAAAAGACAATTAGGAGAGAAAGAAAGGGAGAAGAAAAAGTCCTTTAACTTTGAGGGAAGAGAAAATGTTCATAACAGAAAAAAAAGACTTGCTCAAAATATTTCTCTGAGCGCTTAAAGGTTCTTTAAGCGAGTAGAATTTTGTTAGTGATTAGAAACACTCACAGTTTTCCTCAAAGTTCTTATAGAGTCGGAAAATGTTGGTAGATATAGGAATTTTGCAGTTGAGTGAGTTCGTAGGTCGTCGACAGAAGTATTGCTGGTGAAATGAAGGCAGTTTTCAACTGGTCCTTAATAGTGGGCCGACGTTCGTCCTTGACAGCCCCTTAGCAGTTCTTCTTTGGTTGAAAGTGGTTCCGAAGTTGACTGGTGCTCTCTATCCCCGACCTCACAGACGGTGGTCCGAATTCTCACTGCCAAACAGGAGCAGATTCTCCATTTTATGGAGATTTGGGAGGCTCAGAAGGATCGAGGACTGTTTCCTCCAAAAACGTTATACAAATTTCCTGGCCCCTCCTTTGGTCAGAAAACACATTCTTATCTCTGATAAGAATCAAAGCTTTGGGAGCCGGTTTTGAAAGTAAGGGAAAAAGTTTGGAGTGAGGATTGGAAAAATAGGCTAGAATGTGAACTTGTAAAGTATTGTTCTCAAATTAAATTCCAATAATAGAATTACGGTTAATAGAAGATTAAATAATTTCATTTACGCGATTTCCTAGCTTTCTGTCTGTTTTAATTTTTCCTCCTTCCAAACAAAGGCCATTGGCTTTCACATGGAAAATTTGTACCAGAAAATAAATGTTTAACGTTCGGGGTTTTAGTTAAAGTTTTGTTCTTCAGTTTATTAAACTATTGCAGTTATGACTGCTATCGTCAACTTCGCTAATTGTAATATGTCACACAAGACGTCTCTGAAATGTATTATTTCAGATGTAGTAACAATGTAATGATTCAGGGGTAATTAATATTTGGGTGATTTGGTCGATCGTCCATGAAGTTCAATATATAAAGCGTGGGAAAGAAAGGAATTTTAAAATCGAAGTTGTTTTGTTGCCATATTCTCCAGGATGAATGTATGGAGAACAGGTCTTAGTAATATTTAGCTGAAACGTTAGAGTTTTTATTGCAGTCGAAACTTTAGATTCAAAAGGATTGTCTCGTCTTTAAATGAAAGTTTTCAATTTTTAAGTAATGTGGTTTCTTTGGAGATAGGTTGCAGTACAAATATACTGATTATTTCCGGCCTCAAAAGGGCAGGAAAATGACTTAAGCAGACGACCGCTTAGTTCTTCACGCGATACGTTCGGACGCAATTTCTGGCTGTCTCTCAGGCTGTCGCTCCGGCTGTCACTCTCTTGAACTAGCGAACTTCCGTTTCGCAGCTGCCGTCCAGTCTTTTCTTCTTCCTACTTTTTTTAATATGAGAGTTGCCTTCTCATTAGTTGAGATAGAACTATACAGAGAGAAGTGCAGAGTGAGGAAAATAGATATGGATTTTAAAGAAAGCAAACGCATTGTTTTAATTATTTTTTTTTTTTAATTTTCTTTCATATTTTATTTTTACATTTGAGCACGTCACATTTAGAAACGTTTTTCGATAATAATAAATCTCTTTACCATTTTAATAATCTAAGGCTGAAGTTTCCGAAGTAGATGTTGTTGCCCCACTAAAGGGACGGTGGAAGAAGAAACATTGTAGCATTGTTTACATACAACAGAGCCCTCTTCCAGCTTTTCGCCTACCGACCAATGACAACCCAACGTTGCGTCTCCATTTTCATTCGTGTCGGTGTAAACCCAACACCGAGAAAGGCCCGCTGCACGCTCACAAGGAAACGAAAAATAAAAAAAATATATACAACGCAACATGAAATGAAAACTGGAATTTTACTTCCAATGTATTTAGGCGTTTTATTCAGGGATTAGCTTGTTCGATCTTACAGGGTGACATTGTGACATCTTCTACCATACTGGACTAATACATCTGCTCTTCCCAACAAAGCTTCCTCCTACCAACTTTCTACTCGTCTGAACATCATGATGTGTGGCTGACAATACAAACGGGCGGCAAAGGAACTAATCCAGAGACAGTGTGTCCTCCCTCAAGCACGAGTTAGAAGAGACTATCTTAATCCCAGCGGTGCTATCAATATAGATGTGTGAACGGAAATTAACAATGTCCGTGTTTTTATCACTTGACCTTAAAAAGATTTCATTTATTTATTCATTTTTTCCACTTTTGGTCAAGTCAATGTCACTTCGAAAATCCGAATTCAAAGACTTTATCCACCAACCATAAAACAGCTCCGATAGGAATAAAATTGCAACTTCCTTCTTTATGTGAGTGTAGCAATCATAGTGTTACAGCGTTAGAACTGTTGGTTCCACTGTAGCCAGAATGATCACTAAGAATATCCCCTCCCCAAATTTATAGACAAATTCTATTGATCCATTCTGGAATTTCTTTATAACCAATAAAAGTTTAAAATTTTTAGTCTCATCATCCATACTTTTTCTTTCTTGTCTTGAAGTCAGAACGGTATAGCCACTTGTCTGTATACCTTTTTTGTGTGAACATAATACATACTTTGAGTATTTTTTTTATTTATTATTCTTCTATCTGCCATGTCTCGCTGGGACGGTGATGACCATGGCTCTCTACAATTTCCTGTCCTTTGTAGTTTTTAATAAACTTTGCCATTTTTTTATCTCTCGTAAACCGTGTTCCGTCATCCATTTACTTAAGCTTGTTAGGTAGATTATTTGTTGCTTTCCTCTGTTTCTTTTGTATTCAATCTATCATGTGAGTATGAAATTTTCCAAGCCCACTTTCTTTATTATGAGCCCCATAAATTTCAGCTATCTCTTTCTGATGTTAATTATAAGTGTTCTTTTTCTTTCCATTTTCTCTAAAACTTCGTCGATGCTTATATGTTCGGTCTATGGTATTCTCAGCAACCTACTGTAGAAACAATTCTGCTGCTTCATTACTCATCTTCATCTGTCATATAGGAGGACTAGTTTTATGTAACAGTTCAGTACTCTTTTCTTTGTTGCTAATGAGTTTTTTTCTTTAATATTTTGCTTAGCTTTTAGAAGGCTATTCGCTATTCCAATGAACCTTCAAATTTCAGTGTCGCTTTTCCTTATTACTATTGCCTCGCCTAGTTTTGACTTGCATTTATATTATCTGATTAGCATTATTTAGTCATGTTTTCTTAAATCTTTTTCTTATTGTTTATTAAGAAATTTGTTTATTCCACTTGTTGAGAATTTTATCAATTACACTTAATCTTGGCTAATTACTCCACAAGAACCAATTACATTTTCTTCATACAAAATCTGTATGACAAAATCTAAGTCATTTACATTTAAGGGTTTTGTATACTTTGCTTTACAAATAATAAAATAAACACGAAAATACGGTTTTATTTTATTTTATTGTCTGAAGTTAAAACACCGAACGCTTCTTCGTATCTTGGTGACGTTATCTGGACAGGACGCCCCACACACCAGCCAGGTCAGGCAGCCAATATCTGCAGGGATCAATGATCTTTGTTGATGTAGTCATAGACTTCTTTTCGGTGCCTTCCAGCTGATACTGAAAAGCTGATATATCTTCTTGAACTCCGTATCTCCCATTTAAACAGTAAATTTACATTTTCCTGTTACTAAATCAGCTAAATAAACTGTCTTATTTGGTTAACTTGTTTTTGTTTATTCGCCGTGTTAGATTGCTTGTTATCATAGCTATTATTATTATTATTATTATTATTATTAATATATATTATATTATAACCAATAACAATTATTATTATTGCTAATAACAAGGAATCTGTGTCTTCATATATGTATGAGGGGAGGGTGCTAAGAATGTGGCCTAGGAACCAAGTAAGCAGCAGTTTGTGAAAAATTGGTCTGTGGAGATAATTGTCAAAGAGCCTCAACATTTGATAAACAAAAAAAAACATTATACTCATAAAAAAAACTCAAGAAGAATATCGACTACGTGTAAGACGAACTACCAGAGAATTACTTCTTAAATCTAAAACGTTTTTTTAATATCTCAAAAACACATGTATGCTTTAGTGAGAGGCTGACTGATTTTACGACATACGTATCAACCCCTATTAAGTTATGTTCTTGTTACGTGTTGTATGGTACACCCAGATCCCACTAATAAATACAGCCCCACAAGTCACTAATTTCTAACAGCCTATTTGCTTTATAGTCAATTTATATCTGTTTTATCTAAAACATTAAAATCGTCCACAGATACGCAAACAGGTTGTTAAAACAAACAGAAAATTAATAATAAAATATTGTAAACAAACAAAAAGGTTATTAAAGAATTAAGCAGTAATACAAAACAAATACAAGTAAAAAAAACAAACTTACCAACAGTATCTCAATTTGCTTTTAACCTTTATCTTTTTAAAACATTCTACAATTTCATCCGGTGAAAACCTTCGTTTGTTGTAAAATATATTCACAACAATTTTTGCTGCGATATGAATACCATTTCCAGTGTGCTATTCACAACTAAAAACATATTCTAGAGAAAAAGTTTCCAAAATTCTTTCAGCAGACTCTCTTGTAGTGGATTCGTTATGTTTTACAATAAATCTATCTGCATAGTCAAGTATAGAAAAACAAACACAAATGAACTTTGCCAAGTAAGTCAAAGTACTGCTTCTCTGTAGCATCATCACTATCATTGCCTACAATGACCAGGGAACACATTTCATATTAAAAATTCTTTTTTTTTGTTTTAATTTTCTCTAATAAAGAAAAGGATGGTAATGGAAATTTCTCTATAAGTAATTTGTAGGCTTGTTGAAATGAAAGACGACGTCTGGTTGGTAATGTTACTTTTTTGTAATTCTTTTAGAATTGAGTATGGTTGTTCTTCCACCATGTTTTGTATGTAGTTTCGAAAATTTTCTAACATGCTAAATCTTGTAAGTTTAGCCTTATGTTCATGTATAAACCACTATGTTAACGGTATAGGGGTTCCTTCGCAGTGGAGCTGGACGTGAAGTTTTTGGTCAATGCAGATACATTCTTTTATAGCTGGAAAATGTGTTTCTGGGTCAAAGACTATTCTATAAATTAGAATATAATCTTCCTTTTGTAAAATTCAAAACCATTAGGACAACAATTTGCTTCTTCCAACTGAGTAAAATCCTTTATCGTATCAGCTGAAATAAAATCATGTAATTCATCAGTTTGAACCAGTCATTGTTTTGGAGGCTTTCTGAATTCCCTTGTATTCGACAAAAGAAACGGTTTTCTTTCTTTTTTTTTTATGAATGTATAGTAAGTATTAAATGTAAATCCCAATTCAGTTTCTTTTGTGTTCCTTTCAAAATAAATTTCTCTTCAAAATGTTTCATACAGAGAACTGGTTTTTTCGTAGGAAATCAATCAATAAGATTAACGAATTTTATCCGTTTTTCTACGAGGTCGATTTTTCCAAGAAAAGAAAATGTCGATACTTTTTCACAGTAACATATTCAGTAGAAAAGCCAAATGCAAAACATTTGTTAAACATTTTTGCTAAACAAAATATCACAACAAATAATAATTGAACCTTTAAATGCAATGGACTATGAGGTAAAAAATTTACCTAATAGCGTTCATTTGCGAAATGGGCCGTATACGCAACTGAAATCATAAAAGTGAGGTAACACACAACTGTTTATAATTCGTGGAGTTGTAAAAGCAATTGGTGTAAATTTGCATTTTAGTGTTGAAAGCATATATAGGGAACTGAAATAACGTCTATGTAATTATACGGTGTTAATTTATGTTCTAAGAATTCAATTTTTAAAGCTACCTCCCTTTTAGATTATCAATTTCGTAAACGACTATTCACATCTTTTTTTTTTCTTGAGGGGGGGTTACATTACATCGGCCTGTTAGAATAAAATTCAGCTTTTATATGTGACATGTGACGCCGTATAATACTAGTTGGCCATGGTACACCCAATAAGTATCGACTTCACTACTCTGTAGTAATCGGTCAACCAAACTAGCCCAAATAACCAATCCTCTACGCCGAGGTGGCTTAAGCACTCGGAAGGAAAGACCTATAAAAAAGGACATTCCACTGCACACGTTTTGCGACTATAAAACTGCATACATATGGAGATTTGGCTAAGATTTTTAAGCCTTTCCATTGCCATAACATCTACTGGAATAAACAACTTGTATTCGATTAGTGGACGGGTCTAGTGAATACACAAATATAGATAGAGTGTTTATTTAGAAAAATACAATGCTTTTGGTGAAGTGCGAAGAAAGAGGAGGGGGGATCGGTCATCAGAAACTATCCTGCTTCTAGCTAGTTCGAGTCACGACTAATCCATTCTAACAAATTGACACAAGTACCATAAGAACTATCCTTATTCATTATGCACAACTGATTATTAAAGGATGAAAAATTATCACTGATTTGGACGCCATTCGTTTTCCTTCCAAATCCGTGAAGTTATTTTACTCATGCTAAGTCTCTAAAAGAAAACACTATATAATTCACTATTTTTTATTCATATTGTTAAATTCTTCAACTTTTTAACAAGAAAAATTTCAAGTTGATACAAAAAATTCCCGCAAAACATTATTTATTTAAGATGAAATGATATATTATGATATGTCGCTGATTTTTATTTAGGTATAACATCCCCACATTTTTCTGTTTTGTAAGGATAAGGGAGTACAAAATAATTCCATAATTCTATTGTTCCAAGCGATTTCAAACCCTTCTATAGCCATTTTCATGTGTGTTTTTGTCTCTGGTGGTGTTATTTTTTCCACATGTTTTGATTGTTACGTTGTAATTTTTTACAATTAAATAAAAAATTTATTGAATTTATTGAAACAAAACAAGTACAGTTGACCACTGATGACAATTCCAGAACAACGTAACAATAAACGATTTTTTCTAACCTCTGCGAGCCGCAATGATTGAGAAAGCATTACCTCGAACCATGGCCAGTGAGACACGCTGCAATAGCCACTCCGTTTCACGAGGCTCGTCCCTTAATCGAGACGCTATCCCGCCGATCCTCCGTATTTATTTTCAGTTTTTCTAGTTGAATTGTTCACTGTATTGCATATGATCTATTATTGTACATAATTAAGTTCCAATAATATTTGTATTTTATATAAATACTACCTTATGAAAATTGATATGTAGTAGACTAGTGGGGCTGTCGCATAGATTCGAAGAGGCGGGGGTCACGAGATCCCTTGCACCGGCCCTGCTCACATGACATATTGAAGGCAAGAGAAAAAGTGGGGAAAAGTGAGTATCCCACTGGAAAAGTTTGCGTGAATAAATAGCAGACAAAGAATATGGAAACAAGTCATCTTCTTCTTTATGTGTCGTGGCCCCTCTGGGCGCAGGCGATCATAGCTCTCTACAACTTCCTGTCCCTTGTAGCTCTTAATAGATTTTTGTCTTACTGTTATTTCTCCTAAACCCTGTTCTGACGCCCATTTACTCAAGCTCCTTAAGTATGTAATGCGTTGTTTTCCTCTGACTCACTTGCCTTCAATCCGTTCTGTGAGTATCAGATTTTCCGAACCCTCTTTCCTCATTATGTGCCTTAGAAACCTCAAGTGTCTCTTTCTGGTGTTATGTACAAGTTTCCTTTTTGTTTCCATTTTCTTTCAAATTTTGTCGTTGCTGACATGTTCGGCCCATGGTATCCGGAGCATCCGTCTGTAGAATCAAATTTCTGTTGTTTGAAGTCTTTTCTTCATCTTTGAGAAGATTGTTCGGAACTCACTGCTATACAGGAGGGCAGATATCATGTAACAATTTAGCGAAGTTTCTAGGAAAGTTTTTTTTTTTTTATTTCTTAGTATTTTGTTTAGCTTTTGGAGGGCACTTTGGCTATCCCAATACGCCTTCTGATTTCAGTGTCACACTTTCCGCCCTCTGTTAAAACACTAAACAGATATTTAAATTTCTGAACTCGTTTGATTTTTGTATCTTTAAATTGTAATTCATATTTTAGGCTCATCCTTTTGCTGACAACCATGCATTCTGTTTTCTTTCAGTTGATGTTTAGTTCTTCCTTCTCACTTTCCATCTCTACCTTCTGTGGGAGTTTTGGGTTTTTTTTTTTTCTGTGTCTGCTATCAACGCTGTATCATCTGCATATCAGGTGTTGTAAAAGCACAGGAATGACTTAGAGCGCCAAAAGACAGACTTTTTGGTCAGCCATATTCGCCCACGTTCTGAAAGCACGTAGTACTTAGAGAGGGAGAGAGAGATAAAGAAAGAGATTTAAAACTTTACTTTTTAGAGTTCAAGTAGGTTAACATGTTTTTTGTTTTGTTTGTTTTTTATGATTTTTTTTCTTTTTTGTTGTTGTTTTTTTGTTGTTTTTTTTTCAAACTCGATGTGAGGCTTACACGGGACAAAGAGTTTGCAAAGCTCTTTTTAAATTTTTTTTTTTCTTATTCGTCCTCTCACTTTCTTTCTTTCTCTTTATGTTTTATTTTTTTTGGGGGGGGAGCTATGGAATTTTTCTTTATCTAAGCTTGCCCGATTTATTTCTTTTTATTTCTCTTGTTCTGTGGCGTTTCAAACAACATTTTTCTTTTTATTTCATTTCTGTCTTCTATATTCCTTGCGAGATAGGGAAATGCTTCATTCTTTTTGAAAAGTTATTTAAGTTCTCTCTCTCTCTCTCTCTCTCTCTCTCTCTCTCTCTCTCTCTCTCTCGTCCTAAATGTAAGTGTTGAGAGACGCAAAATACTCGCTCTATGGCATGAACCCAATTTGTGTACCGTTTCAACCTGATGCTCAGAGTCGCCAAGGGCCGAATGTTTTCCGTCTCGAATGGCGTTTCGCTTTTTATTGAAAAATTCTAACAAAGGATCTGATGAATTTCCCACTTCATTCTAAGTCTGGTTTTAACATTTCATTAGATTAACTTGATCTGGTAACTTCACCTTTGTCCACGCCAAATGACGTGAACTTCTCTGATCGATTATTATATTGCTAAAATCCCAACTCTCTCTCTCTCTCTCTCTCTCTCTCTCCATCTATCTATTTATATATATGTGTGTGTATGCGTGTGTGCGTGTTGTTAAAAACAGTAGATATTTTATATCGATTAAATTTAATGATCTGTTTTAATGTACGAATATCCTTACACAGAAATAAAAGTAATGTAATTATAAATTGGTCAAAATTCAGGTTGTGTATTTTCAAAAATAATGATACAATCTGCTCCTTAAAAAACACATAATTTTCTTTTCTCATTCGCACTCCTAATGATAACTCATGTGAATCGAGGACTCGGGATTACATAACATTAATTTGCTTCAGTTTAAACACACATAATAATCACATTTTTATAATGTTCGTACATTAGAAATGTCTTGTTTTAAAAATACATATGCAATAAGCATTCATATACAAATCTCCACCACATGAATAGTGGTTGATACAGCTGGAGGCTAAACTAATCCTGACCTTTTGGTTGGGATTGGTATATTAGCCCAAGCTCCAGGAGGCTTTCCCTCCAGGATGTAACTCTCTATCAGAAAGGGGCTGGGTTTATTACCCAGTACTTGAGGCGTCTCCAAAAGAGGAAGTGCTGAGGGGGGCTTGGGAAACTTTGCTCGCTGTGGCCCGATTTGCAAATGTTATAATATCTCTTGTCTAAAGGATAATGTCCAAGGCGATGAAAATCAAAAGAATTCCTGGAAAAAAAAAAAGATTATCTTTCGGCTTCTCCTGCTTGGTTAAGAGGAAATATGTAGTGGAAGATTCGATTTGTTCTCTCAGTGTTCTAAGTACGCCACCTCGTTCGTTTGACTGATCTACATTAAATTCTCACTTGACATAAGTATCCATTTACTACCACTATCTTATAAAATCTATGTATGCGTCATGTCACGAGTCCCGTAACCCATTAAGATCGTAGGGGCACCGTGTGTACTGTATAGTGGCAGTGGTGGGACTAGAACATAATAGCCTGGTAGAGCTCATTATTTTTTAGGCTGATTTTCAATTCAGAATGTTTCTACTTCTAGGTTAGTTGCCATCTCAAGACAAGAGAACCCAGTCAGAAGAGATGGATTTATACATTTCCCAACGCTATTTGTGCTAACATGAACATAACTAACACAGAATTTCTCTTTCCTAGTCGCTAACTGTTTTGCTCTCGTTAAATAGCCAACAATCTCTTTTTATGCTTGCAGTCCTGGGTATGACGATAAATTGCATCCGGCAACAAGGCTTCTGGTAGGGAGATTGGAGGTTTTGAGGAGAGTGGGATCACTTCTTAATTGATATTGTTCTCAGGTCCAGCCTGACCCGGGGTGGTAGCACCTGCTAGGGTCCCAGCTATGGGCAAATAGTGAATCCACCTTAAACAAAATCAAAACACTATGAAAGTATAAAAATACATTTTTAATATAAAAAAAATATAAATTTATATAAAATAATACATAAATAAATTTTTCACAGATAATGTCGTTTCTATCATACAGCCCATTAGCGAGAATGTGAATTTATACCTATTGCAGTGAAAATTTTAAACTGATATTCTCGCTTGAAAATCTCTAGGTCTGATACACAATATTAAATTTGTAGTAATCTCTATCCACAATAAAATCTGTCACTTCGAAACGAAATATTGACTAAATTTTGGAAAGGACTAATGTTATACAGTACGCAGGTCTACCGGCTTACATTAGCAGATACTACTGAATCAATGAAAATATAATTCAACTGAATAGTGTTTGAAATTGTTAGGCAAGATTATATTTTGTTGGGTAAGATTATATTTTGTTCCTATTTCTTTTTATGATGAATCAATAAAAATGATTTATTTTCGTCTAACATCATAAGAGTGTTAGTTGTCCACCTTTTCAGATTTTTAGGAGACTCCTATTTTTCTCTTGCCCTCTGTAAATATATATAGAGAGAAACAGACAGACAGACAGAGACAGATTTTATATATCAGATTAATAGTGGGTAATTGAATGACAAAATTGAAAAATCCTACATGATGCATTTCTTCATATATGATTCCATCAGTAAAACATCATCCGAAGAAATCCTTTCAAAGGATGAAACTCGTCATTTTTTATTTTTGCATCATTCAATTAATATATATATATATATATATATATATATATATATATATAGTTTTAGGGTATGCTATAGTTATGGGTTAAAGTGCTCAATATCAGGGATAGAGCGTATGCAAATATATAAGTGGACATTGAAGTCAACACCCAGCGGCAACAGCCTGTGTCATGCTTATACGTATTAAACAGACTGTCGCCGCTGAGTGCTGAATCCAATGTCCACTTTTAAATATTTATTCATATATATATATATATATATATATATATATATATATATAAATATATATAAATGGTATAAAATGACAATTGGAAAAAAATCGATTTTGCCGGCGCGTTTCGTCTTCCGACATTTTCAAAGCAAAAATGAAATCGAAACGTCTTTGTTGTTATAGTTACATTAAAAAAAATCCGAATTTAAAAAGATGGACTCTTCTATCTAGGCCTTTTCTGGTTAATCTAAATTTCCTTTATACTAAGAGATTTTTCCACGTCGACAATACAGTTAAATTCCCAGATCAATTCTGTGGACAAGACAATTGGTATAAAATTATATATATATATATATATATATATATATATATATATATATATATATATATATATATATAAATATAAATTTTATAACAATTTGTCTTGTCACAGAATTGATCTGGAATTTTATACTATATATATATATATATATATATATATATATATATATATATATATATATGTGTGTGTGTTACATGAATCATTCGTACAAAAAAACACGCTCCAAAAAATTTCTTACAATTAACAATAACACAATTCTAACATTATTTCGGATTACATCTATAATTTCGTTGTCCTGTTATTACCGAGAAGTAAAAAACAAAAACAAATCTATTTCCATACCTGAAGATGTCTGTAGGAACAGACGAAAGCTTATAAAAAAACAAAAAAAGACCTTATGCAACTGGAATTTATAAACAGGGATCATAACATTCATATTCATGTTCGGGGTTAATGTACTTTATTAAAATTGTTTGCGAAGATATATTCTCGCCATTTAAATCATTAACTTCTATATCTGTTTTTTGTATGAATGATTCATGCAATGTAAATTGAACTGCACCACATACTTGATATATATATATATATATATATATACTGGGCATATTCCGAAATTAAGAATATTTTTTATCGCAGGATCGTAGGGGCACCATGTGCACTGCAGCTGCAGTAGAAGGGGTGTTTCTTAGGCAATATGGCTTGACGGAGCCCAATACTCTCCAAGCCGGTTTTGAATTCAGAGTTTTTCCTTATAGACCGATTCCCACTCAAGGTTATATATAGGTCTGTCCTACAATTTTCCCGTAGCTGGCGGGGGAAGAAGAAGACTCATGCCTTTCCCAAGAATATTAGCACGTAAGTGAATGTAATGGATCCGACTGGAATTCGAACTCTCCGATTTCTCAATCTAAGCTTATCCATTATTCCACCGTGTCTTTTAAGAATATAAGAACGTGCCTACTTTCAATATCTTTTATACTGTCTACAACAGCATTAACGCTACATTTATTATAGTATTACAAAAATCCTTGAAAATGCCTAATAATTTAGCCGAAAACGCTCGGAATCCACAAACTTTTTGACAAATTTTACACTCATTAAGTTGAAAATAGTGAAGACTTGTACGCATACAAGAAAAGCATGCAAAAAAAATAAACAAAAGTACCCTATCTGTCTTGTTAAAAGTAACATACATTAAAGAGTGACTGCTGCCCAAACAGTCTCTCTATATATACATTTGTGTGTGCGCGCACACACACACACATACGCGCGCTACGATTTTGGTTAATACGGTATTTTGTGGTTGAATTTATCGGATTAATCAAAGACCGCCCTGGTAAGCCATGTTTTTGTCGTCAGTTGCAGCATTTGAAAATTTACTTTCCTTTATTAGTTTCGTTAACGCATTCCAATCTATAAATGGTATTGAAGACCAAACCTAAAATCTTTCTCCAAGAAAATTACATTCCTAATGACATGAATCAAAAAGGATTTCTTGCACAGTGGAATTGTCCGCCATACAAAGTCGTTTTCGATTGATTAAAATCAAACTATCCTACTAAGAACAAAGAATACAAAGAACCCCTCTATCGTCTCTCATCGAACAGCGTCATCTCAGTGTCTGAGATACTTATTACTAGTGTCCACTACTCAGAACTCAGACTGACCATTACTCATCATTATGTGCCGTGTCTCATCAGTACGTAGGCGTTCATGGCTCTCCACAATTTTCTGTCTTTTTTTATCTCTTAATAATTTTGTCTTTTTGCTATTTCTCGTAGACACTGTTCCACCATCCATTTACTCAAGCTCAAGATAGATTATGTGTTGTTTTTTTCTCTCCCTTTGATCTTGTGAGTATCAGATTTTCCAAGCCCTCTTTCCTCATTATGCGCCCTAGAAATTTCATCTGTTTCTTCCTGATGTTAAGTATAAGATCCTTTTTGTTTTTATTTTTAATATACATTTATTTATTTTTTTAAACTATTGTTCATCTTGACTGTCAGAGATGTTATTATAAACACAATGTTTCGGCCAAGTACCAAGTACCAAGATGTCATTATTAAAACAAGGTTTCGCCCAAGTACCCAATGTTTC